GGTTTAGAAGCGGAGATATAGATAAACATAGGTTTTATTAGGCGGCCATTTTGAAATCCAAGATGGCCGCCATAATGACCTCGGATGAGGTGGTTCCTACCAAAAATTGAATGCTATGACCATAAGGAGCATGTAAAAAAAAATTGGTGCTTTTGTCCGGAACGTCCACATTAAGTCCAAATGTGGCCCTAAGCTGCCGTACTATAATAACCGCGCACCAAGTCTACAACTGCGTATCTTCTAATATTCAAAAATATACAATTTGGTCAAGAACTAATCCTAGGTTTTGTTGTCATCGAGGAGGTTCGGATTTAGATTGGTAAAAGAAGTTTTGAGATAGATCGGAATATACGTAGCAGAGACGGAAGAATGATTAGAAATGTATACGGTATGTCTGTGTGATGCAAGCTTTATTCGTTTTTGACTTATTGTGGAATCAGCGCTTCGTAACTGAAAAGAAAGGCAATATACAAGTAACAAGTACCGTAAAAAGTAACAAGTAACAAGTAACAAGTAACAATATTAGGTTATTTGACATTTAAGTTGAACCACCAATGTTGTTTGGTTGTCAAAGTTAGTCAAAAACAGAACATTTTGACTTGTTAATTTAACATCGAACTGAATAGAAGACTAACGTGTTAGCCTACAATATTCTGGGGTATTGTGCTTTCTGCTTTTGATATCTTTCTGTACTTTATGTACAGTTGGTGTGACTATGTAATACCTCTCCTATAATGCAGTTCAGTAATATACTGCTGTACAATAATAATTTCCTATGAAAAAATGTGTAAAAATAAGAACAAAATATGAACATTTTGAGCCCGAAATCGGTCAAAAAAATAAGAAACCTGAGCCTGGGCAAAATTTTACTGGTTCTTATAAAAAAAAAAGTGTACCACTTGATGCATGAATTGTACAGGTATCTGATTCTGACCAATTGCCTTGTTCTGACATTTGAACTTTAAACGCATGTGCAAAAACTATTAAAATACCGGCGGGTCTCTTGGGAGATAAACATGTTTCGGGGGAAATTGCACTGGTTATATTTCCAGCACATTATTGCAAACAAGGGGCCCACTTTACAAGGGGAAATTTTTGTCCATGAATTCTGTATGATGTCGTCAAGTTCTCGATGTATCCGGTATTGCCACTTCTTCATACTCCAGGGGTGTCTTGACGACAACTCTAACTACTACAGTACTGACGCACAATATAGCCCTCAGTGACTCAAAAAAAAAATGCCAAAAGACTTCAAATGAAAGGCAGAAAATTTTACATTAAATATCAGAAGAGATTGAGAAGGCTAATATTAAGGGGGTTGAGAACCTTAGCATATTGTGTACCGTGCAATGATTAATTTAAACGTAGGCCTGACTTCCTATGGCCAGGATTCAATGTAGTACAGTGGCTATTGGTACACTAGTCTTAAATAAACGTACTCGTTTGGTACACCAGTTTTAAATAAACGAACTTGTAATTCTGATAGGATGTTATTTTCCTAATCCATACACATAATAACATCCAATTAGAATTATGAATTATTTTAAGACTGGTGTAACAATAGCCACTGCCTTAATGTAGGCTTACATAATAAAATTATTTAATTTAGTGCACGCAGGGAGCACACAGTAAACTTCAGCAAACCCATCTGTAAATCAGTTAGAACACAACGAAATAATTACAGGCCTATTCATCTTCCACTCACGATCTTTATGTGGAAACCATTATTGTGAATGCCATTGCCATATCACAAGATTATTACATTACATAACTAAATGATTACATTACTATTGTTCCAATACACTTACCTGTTTGGTTTTCTTTACTCGAACGTGTGATCGTGTATCGATGTGTTGCACATAATTTAACGTTTGAACTTCGAGTGCAGTTTCAAGTTCGCCGTGAACCCGCTCTCCTATTCGAGCAACAATGATCTATTATGGTTGGTTATCCATTGTGAAGTCATGGTTGAATGACTTAGTGCAAAAGGATTGGACTGTTAACGCCAATAGTTACCATCCGACTGATCACTAGAAGGACAATGCCCTTGTTAGACTCTTCCGAATAGTGGATAACTTGCCCATGATGTTAATATTTAAAGTATAAAGGAAATATTCATCAGTAGTTTTTGTATTTGGTTTCATGCTGTGACCTTTGAGTCGAAAACCCCCAGACAAAAATCTAGTTTTGTAAAACAAAACTAGATAGGCTTTGGCTTGTGTACTTTGCCTCGCATCTAGGCTACCAAATTTAGTATTGTATCTTATTCCTTGAAGTTTTGGAAAGGGGCTGCGGCTCTGTTTTTCGCTCTAGTATAATCACGTAACGACGGAATTGTACTGCTGGTTCATTTCTACTTGAAAACGGGTCTTGTTTTATTTATTCTATTTTACTCTAAAATACATTGCAGATGATAGGTAATACAGGAAATATGGCTGTTAACTTTTACTGCGTCTTTGGTACACTACATTTTGTCATTAGCCATTATTTTAATAGTAAAATTCCGAATGAATTATTATTATTATTATTATTATTATTATTATTATTATTATTATTATTATTATTATTATTATTATTATTATTATTGTTATCTTTATTTTTATTATTATTGATATTATTACTATTATTAGTTGTATTTAAACTTGACTCCTTTGTTTTTATACTATAGTATAGCAGTCATGCTTTTGGTGTGTTACGGTACCTTTCAATGTCAACTGTGACCTGCGGATGGTCAAGTGATTGTTCGAGGCACAGATCCTATATAGGATCTGTGCTCAAAGAAACGATCACAAGACAGGATCACTATAAAGATGCCTGAAATTCATCCAGTATTCCTGTTCAGGGATTCTGCATTAGATTTTCTTCGCTTTCCCCTTATTTTTCTTTTCCAGAAGTGTTCTTCAATGGCATAAAACCTTTATGTCTTCAATTTGTGTAGTTTGTTTGATTGTCATCTACTGTTATATTATTTGTGTTTAATGGCATTTTGTTACTTGCTCAAACTTCTACCGAAATGTTATAAGAGGGCGCTGTTATCTAACTTATCAAGCTTGATACTTTTTTTTCAGACAGCCACGGTTGCGGTAGATATTAATATTCATACGTTAACTCTAACTTTTTGCTTGAAATTGTTGAGACCTCTATTTTAGCCAATTTTTACCATTTTAACTGTTACAATATTTCAACCTTCATCTTTATGATATTAATATTCATAAGTTAACTCTAACTTTTTGCTTGAAATTGTTGAGACCTCTGTTTTAGCCAATTTTTACCATTTTAACTGTTACAATATTTCAACCGTCATCTTTATATTTTAACATTTTATGATGATTTTGTGATGTATGTGTTGTGTGTTTTAGTATGTGATTGTATCAATAAGTATATGTTTTATTTTAACCTGTGAACACACAACCGGAATTCCAAACCGTATATTTTGACAGTGCTCGACAATAAAGACTGAATTGAAATCAATTTACAAAAAAATAGGTTTAGAGTTGGTATGTTATTGATGTTTTTGTTAGATGGTCTGTGAGACAAAAATGAATGTGTTTGTAAAATTATTTAAAATGTAAGGGTTATAATACCTGAAATTAATTTTTCCATGTTTTTATATTGATTTTGTATTCTCAGTGCTATTAAGAGACTATTACGATAAATTTATATATGAAAATATGAATTTAATTAAAGAAATACACAAAAACCGATTATTAATAGGTAACACAAACACTTTTATTAATCCTCAAAACTCATAATGAATATACAGATAAAGTGTAGGTAATTCTTACATCTAAACTTTACTATAATGACGTTATTAGGTCGAGCCAATACTTTAAGAATAAATTCTCACTTATTATACTTTATGGTCCAAGATTTTAACGCATTATATTCATAGGACCTAAAGACGCGTCTTATCAGAGTGAGATACTAGCCATGTTTGAAGCAAAAACTTAATTAACATATACACAGTAAATACGCCTATTCTAAATTCCTGCCAAATTTTAATGCCACGTTTTTAGTGACTGTCATAATAGCAACAACATTCAAAATGATTTAATCACTGTTTAGTATAGTTAGTTCTAAACATACTGAAGCGTGTTATTTACAAATATTAAACGGCTAATGAAATATTTTAAAAATATTTTGTCACATTGCGTAGAAGTTTATACACATCTAAATACATGCTAATTTGGTGTTATAGGAAATTAGAAAATTATAGCAAAGACCAGTGTTTGAGTACATTGTACTTAGAGTCTCACAGCATAGTATCCTTGATTAATCATTAGGCCTATTTGCATCATTATATACTTTAGCCGTGGAGTTTGCTATAGGCATACATGGTAATATTTCATAATTACAAACTATAGATAGCCCGACACAAATTTATTTACATCAACGATTATGTTTTATAGTTTCATTTACAACCGACGGAATCGTTGTGTTATCACTGCTTTCATTATATATACGAATCAATACAGATTGAGTCTTACCGAGTTTACAGATAACATGTGTTTGTCTTCTGTAGTTTAATTACAACAAAATAGAAGCATGAGTAATCAGAAACGATAACACAATAGGGCTAATATTCTTCCTACAACTTACTTTTTATTGACAGTTGATAAAACTACATAATCACAAAAAAAAAGATTTAATTGAAATCGAAATCAGCAAAGACATTACACAATGCATTGACGCCATTTTATCATATCTTGACGATATATTTAAAGGATGAATCCCAAATTTGAAGGTGTCAATTAAATTGACCAATCAGAACAACGCTCGGAATACGCGCTTGTCCCACAATTGTTCCACAAACGTACGTGTTTACGTACTGTACGTGTACACTGTCATTTGCTGGGACCTTAGCAAAATATTAAATGAGCGGAAAGATGCATTCTAGATTAGCTGTCTGTGACACAAGATCTGATAGGCCTAAATAGGCCTAAATTTAAGTATACAAAAACCTTTTTCTTACTGGTATTAGACTTAAGGACGAAAGGGTTTAGAGATAAGCTTTATTATTATTCTTATTTAAGTTTATTTTCTATTATTCCATTTTATACATAGTTATTCCTATGGTTTGTGTTTTATGTATAATGTAAGCCTATGCATATTCATGCCCAGAAAAAACACATTTCATGTTATGCTTAAGTATGTGATGACGAAATCTGGATCTGAACCTGAATTGGAATGATAATGAAACTAGCTAACGAATAAATCATGCCAACTGTAATAGAGACGACGTGTGTGCTTCTGATCGCGGTATGAAGGTCCGATGTGTAGGCGCTAATGTGGTGCACAGCCATCGTTACAACGATGGCAGACGGTAGCAGAATGACCATGTATATAACCATAAACGTGACGTGTAGAATCGTTATCTGTAAAAAGTTACAATATTACCAGTAAATAAATTATGGTGCCGAAATTAATAATTCATTATCATATCTTATACCAATAACCTGTAAGGTGACTTTATATCCTCTTGTGCAGTAATTACAACACAATAAACGATCAAATTGTCTCCAATAACAATAATTATTCATGAGAATTTTAGGCTTATTATGCAACCTAATGTATTTTAAGTAATATTTTTAAATTCCCATGAACCGTGTTTATGCTCATAAAGGAAGTTACGGGTCAAATAACATGTCTCTAAGCGTAGACTTAATTGATTTAAAATATTGTTTGAAGGTTTGCATGGCGAAGTAAAAGTATGTTAAATGCTTGTTGCGGTACACCACGTAGATAGTTCTGAAAACAAACCTGCTGTTGTTTAAAATGTCTGGACGTTTCGACTGAGTTGCTGTAGTTTCAATCGTCATCAGAAGAATAATATTAGATATTATCTTGCTGATGACGATTGTAGTAACTCAATGAAAACGCCAAGAATCTCAACAACAACCTCAACAACTATTACTTGCAAACAAGAGTTTTTTTCAGAACTCTCTAATATTTTGCGGTCTGTACCACAAGAATTCAATATATTAATTGATTTAATTACACATACCCAGTAGTGATTTCTGTAAATACCTTTTTTGTATATTTAATAGTAATATTTTAATTGGAAATACAGTAGTCTAAATATCTTACCCTTCTTTCTTCCTGCTCGGATCTCTTATAGAGAATTCCATCAACCATCAGACGATCTTCCATAAACACATCCGACTGTTAATAAAATTAAAACAAAGGTTTTAAGTTTATTAGTTATCACTGATACAATGGTTAATAGAATAGAAACGTTAGAAATTGGGCTTCTTAGACGTATGTTGGAAGTAGTACGGAAAGAAAAGAAAAGAAACATTCTGAGATAAGACAAGGACAAGACAAGCCAACAACCTTACACAAGATAACAGAAAGGAACATAATGCACTTTGGACACAAGATAATTACAAAGAGAGATTCTAGAGCAAAAATATGAAGGAAAATGAGGTGCAGAAGGTCAACAGCAAGTGAAATGAGTAACCAAATGTTGGACAAAGTTGAAGTATACAGAATGTCGGAGAAACACAGAAGATGTCCTATGGTAATACTTAGTCGTCTGAGACCAGATGGTGCCGACGGCCAGCCCTTATTATGTATACATTACGGCAGACCTATAATGCATGCAATAAACGCTCTTCGTTTTGTCCTGTTTTTAAATAATTCCTAAATCATATGGCATGACTAATGAGACAGTTCTCTTACCTTGTTAATAGATCCAATTTCGTTTTGATTATTCTGTCCGTTCGCGCCATCTACCTGGCGTAGGTACGAATCTGTAGACCCGCAGTACCGGCGATAGAAGTTACTTTGACAGGCTACCATAATGATAGTACAGATCAATCCTAATATAAACGGTAGAAATGTAGTACAGCCAACCTTGAATTTGTTCCATCGGATATAAGCGTCATATTTATCGTAATCAGGGTGACAGAAGCGAACTTCTTTTTCATTGGTATCGAATACATATAGGTTCTAAAAGGTAAATATCACATACGATATCAAGATTTAGACTTTAATACGTGTAATATATAAATACATACATACATACATATATATTATATATATATATATATATACAGTATATATAATTGTTGTTTTTTTATATCATTATATATACCGTATTTAATGATTATTCATTCATCATCATGATTTATAAATATATCATAATGTTTACATTTTAGTACATATTATCAAGTTTGATCATTCCAAACATTCTACTTACCAAATAAGAAACAACTGGAACAATTGAGAGGAATGCAACTAAGAAAACTGCGATGCACACAAGAGTCCCAGAAATCGTAGAGTTCTTCAAAATGTTCTGGCGCAGAGGTGTAAATGTCAAAAGCCTATAGAATACAAAGTAGGTGGATGGTTAAGTATACAATATTTGATTAATTACAGTTTACATCGACTTTGTGAATTTTTCTCTATGATACTTCAGTTATACAGGTATATATTATTCATTTATATTTTCAAGTAAATTTCTAGAAAAAGTTAGCTATATGCTACTTCAATTATCGTAAGGTCTATTTTTTTTTTTAAATACTTCACGGTGTTTCACTGTTTCACAAATACACGTTTTAACAAAACGTTAAACAAAAAGCTTTGAACTATAGAGGGCGATACATTTCTTTGTTGGTGTGTTGTACAACTGATTTTGCTAAGACACAAAAAGCATATTTGACGAAAAACTCCGGAAACAGTTAATGAGATACAGATTTTTGAATATTTAAAAACCGGGGAGAAAAGATGGAAAAAATATTATGGTCAAAACTAAAAAAAGCTTAATATAACAAATATTTGAGCCATAATTCATTCTTTTCTATATTGGGCTTTCATAAAGCTATTTTCATCAACCTATGTATATGTAATTTAAAAAAAAAAGAACATTGTCGTTTTTCCTTTTGTCTTGTTCCCTTGTGTTCGTTCCGTCGTGTTTTATCTTGTCTTTGATCCTGGAACAAATTACTTTTTTTTATCTGGTGGAGTCAGCTGTAAAGCCATTTGGGCTTATTTGACTTCTCCAGATACAATTGCATTTGATTTTGCTTGCATCTTTATTATTTTTGTCTTATTACCACCATTACGAATTGTGTGAATAAATATGAATCTGAATCTGAATATCTGTTTAATACAGTTTAAAATATATTATGCGAAAACCAAACGTAAAGAATTATGGTGTCCCAGGCAATGGGCTGTTAGATACTCCAACCAGCATTTATAAACTCATGCAAACTGTGGATAGGAGGTAGGGCCTACAGTACTGCCAACTGCATATTCATAATACCAACTGTTTTACTCCTACACTTCTGGAGTCCTTAGTAGGTCGGCTTTACCCACAAGAGAGAACATCTTTATTTTGCCGTTAGAAATGAATTTGTCCTTTTGAATGTTAGGGTTGAAATGTCCCCTTACTAATCGTCACGAAAATGCTTTTATAAAGAATAGGCCGGTTAAATATCCACTGCTTTTAAATACTTGGGAGTATATCTATGAGATCCCGTAAAACGTGTTTAATAACTGGAGTAGACTGAATCTATGATATACTGCCACCTGCAGTTTGATAACCGGAGTAGTCTGGAAATATGCAATACCTCCACCCATACTTTAATATCCAGAGGACACGGAACTAGGGGTGCTGCGTTGTGGAGAGTAATGTGTGACCGGAAATGGTCTGCCAGTTGGTTGTTACCATGCGCCAGTGATGTTGGAATACAGCAAGATGAAACTATTTATGTAATGCATGAAGTTCGGGGTTTGTCGGGTAGTGAAATGATTATTGTACATTTCTCCATGCATAAGTGTAAACTAAATTACGGTGATTAATTAGCGAAGATATGGAGACAATTATTTCGAAGTTCCCAATCACGTTCTGTTGCCTAGCAAACGTCTGTACTGTAGCGTGGGGGAG